ACTGGTTATGGTTTTTCAATACCCTAGAACTAATGTACTTCTTTGGTGGCAAAAGGGTTCAAGGAATACATTTAATATTGATTAATTACATCACTTCACTAGTCACATATTATTTACACTTATCTTTGGCAAATGAAAAACATCTAACAGTAACATATAACTTTACAATATTTTCTAAACACAGGGACTGACATTCTTTAGAGGTTTCCATATCATAATTTGCAATAATATTGCACCACAAGCTTTTCACAAGGGAAGAAGCCAAAACTTCATTCACTATTTTGTCCATTGGGAGACAAGTGAACTTGTCTCTATTCGTGTGCTTACTAAAAGCTAACTCACTAACTTCCATTTAGGCCACCACAACGATTAAATGTACTCATTGTCCTCTGTTACAGTTCGCATTGAAACATCAAGGCTTGAATTTCTTTGTTTCTCTGGGAGTGCCACCTGGAACAATTTTTGCTTTTTCGATACAAAGATCTTATCATGAGTTCATAACCAGCCAAATAGGTCAATGGCCAAGCTCTTGTGATGATACAGAAACTTCTTCCTAAAATAAGTTAATAAAAACACAATAAATGCTAATACACTGGGTAAATTGAGCTACTATATTTTTACCCAGGGGTATTACCCTGGTCCATTACCTTTTGGAAACCAAGATGGTCGTGGGTACAGGGTACAGTAGTTGTATTTTAAAATTATTAAATAATTTGAGGGAACTTTATATAGGTTTGACAAGTATTATATATTATACAATTTATAGACCTTATTGAAATACACTACCTCCAGACATACACCATCTAGCTAGCTAGGTCAAACTGATAAATATAACTATGTCAGAAACTCAGAAAACAATTACCTCAGAGTCAAATGGTTGCTCAATACATGTCAACAACAAACGCTCTGGGAGATGAATTAGGATGAAAAACATCATCTTCTTGTTAGGATAAGGATGAAAATATTGTTGCCAATGGGCGTTTATATTGCCATAAAACTCCTTTAGAAAGTTTTCTTTGCTCTTCTTTCTTTTAGTTTATAATATAAAGCTTCAGAAGGATGTTGATGTTTTGTTAGACTACCCTTTGACTTGCAAATTTTCTCACAAAGGTCGCAAGGGAATTGCTTATTTCCTTCAACCATAGTTAATAGAGGGGATGGTTTGGAAACTCATTAGCATTACAATAAACTCAGTATCTATGTTTTTGTTCAGGTTTATGCAAAAATGTGGTCTTTCATCGTCACGTGCGTATTGTATTTTTGCTCAACCAGCCAATAGCAACGGTTTTGTCCAATTGCTCATCCATGACTTTAACAATAGGACATTTTGAACATTCCTATTGGTTGCCTTGAGAAAAATACAATACGCACGTGACGATGAAAGACCACATTTTTGCATAAACCTGAACAACATAGATAATGAGGTTTATTGAGATTTTATTGTATTGCTAACGAGCTTCCAAACCATCTTCTCTATTAACTATGCTTCAACCTATGTTGCGGAACTTGTGATTCCACCGTCTGGTTCATTCAGTAAACGCTCAAGGGACTGTATTTTATAATTGTATTGATTGTAATATGTGAAAGTATACTATTTACAACGTGAGTTTTAGACTGTTAAACATTCCGATTGTCTCGCTACGATCTGACGGAAACAATGACATTCAATCACTACCTAGCTATTTGATTACCCTACCAAATTACAATGTGTCACTGTGACGTATCAATTTACACATACAAAGACTTATTTACGATTTAACATGAATTACGTCAATCACAATACTGATATATTACAGGAAGTATATTTAAAGTTGAATGAATTGGCGGCGCTGCGCTGGGAACCTACGACACCCCACCCACCTTGATTCATAAAGGTCTATGAATCAAGCATCGCCTTTGTCTTCGCTTTGGAAATTGCTGCAGCAGCCCGTCTCGGACGATCATGCAAGACATGCAAGGACCCGTCTGCCTTAGCTATGGGGGTATCCTTTCCCTGCCCATTACCACCCGGTCGAGCTTGAACCTCCAATGGGAATAACTTCTGTATAGGCCTATTCAAATAGACTGGTCTACCCTTGCCTGCAACCTTTACTTTGGCCCCTCGGACCTCCTTGTCCTTACCTACAATTAACTCTTCTACAACTGCTAACTTCCAACCACATCTCTTTCCTCCTTCTCCGTACACTGTCACTACGTCTCCCTTCTTTACTTCTCTCAATCTACCTCCGTTTTTGCATTTATGGAACTCTCTCAGCCCTGTTAGATACTCCTTTTGCCACCTCTTCCAGAAGTGCTCTAACTTTAACGACACATACTTAAATCTCTCCTCACAACTATTCTCGTCTTTAGTAACTTCGTTCTGTGGCATAATATTAATTGCTCTACCATATATTAAGTGTGAAGGAGTTAAGACTTCACCATCAACTTCTTCGTATTCATCAGTCAACGGTCTTGCATTTAATGTACCTTCAACGTCAACTAAAACTGTATTAAGTTCGTCGAACGTTAACCTAGCAGTCCCTAAAGTCTTCCTAAGACACCTTTTCACGCTTCGTACCATCCTCTCAAAAACTCCACCCCACCAGGGTGCCCTCTCTAAGTTGAACCTCCAGGTTATTCGCTTCGTCTGTAGCTCGGACTTACCCTTTTGCTGACTATATAGTTTCCTAAGAGCTTTCTCTGATGCCTTAAATGTCTTTGCATTGTCTGATACTATCAAACTAGGCGTTCCTCTTCTAGCGGCAAACCTTCTTAAAGAACGTAAAAACGTGTCGGCTGACAAATCTCGTACTACCTCTAAATGTATTGCACGTGTCACACAGCATGAGAACAATGCTACATACACTTTGTTGGAACAATCTGCACAAACCTTTACAAAAAGTGGACCAGCGAAATCAATTCCCACTTTAGAGAATGGTGCTGCCTGTCTGACTCTAAACACCGGTAAATCTG